TTTTTTACCGGCGTAATTGGAGTAAGTCAGTGGTGGCCTAGTGGTTAAAGGGCCTGCCTTTCGTGCCCGAGGGCACGGGTTCGATCCTGGCAAGTACCAATAAGATTTTTCCGAGTCATATATACTTTCTTAGAGTGTTTAGACACCACAACGTCTGTACGTTGAAGAAAAACATCGTCAGGAAACCTGGACTTATAATTTCACAATTATAAGTTTGAAATCACCAACCCGTCTTGAGCAAGCGTGGTTATTAATGCTCAAACCTTCTCCATGTAAGAAAAAGGCCTTTGCTCAGCAGTGGGTTCTGATAGGCTGAAAAAAATAATAACGACAGGAGTGATTTTTTTAACTTCAAAGAGGACAGACTTTTGTAATCTATTACATTAAACTTCTTTAACGGCGTATCTAAAAAAAAATGTCTTTACATCAATGAAATGGTTCCAAATGATATTTTTCATTACAGTAAATTTAACATTTCAGTTTATTTCGCCCTGTTGTAATAACATTCTCAGAAATCATTGTACAAATATTAGAAAATAATGAATAATATACATGTGTAAATTGTATAGTACATCGTTAATTATGTTTTAATTAATTTCAGACTCGTATGAAATGTTTTGTAATTCTCCTAACAAGTAATGTTTGTAATGAACGTCCAAATACAATTTATTCATGGAATGAATAAAGTAAAAAGGTATTCAACGCTAAAAAGTTTCTAAATTCCCTGAAGTCGAAGAATGCCGGATCGAATGCGATGAGGTGGAATTAATTAAAGGAAACAATAAATTAGTTTCAGAGAAATTTTCAACACAAACATATCTTAAACATTATATATGTACCGTCTTTATATATTGAACACCTAAATGTATATACTCAACTTATACGCGAGGACATTTAAAAATATTAAATTTATACAATTAAACGTTGCTTGAAGGATTTATACAACAAAGCAAGCTATCAATTCCTTTGATTCATTCTTAATAGCCATCAAAGACAAGTACAATTAAATATGACACAGCTTCTTTCAATAAAGACGGGGCTGGAATCATCGGATAAGAGATCAAAATAGAGCCAGTTGTACTGAAAATAAGGTAACAAAGATATTCAGAACACTGTATTTGTTGGCGACGATACGACTTTGTTAATACAAAAGACATTGCATCGCAATCTTCTACCCTGGATGTTGTAAAGATTTTTCATTCTTTACATTAACTGTTTGAAGCGTCATGTTGATCTGGGTCCTGTGTGTGTGTGTGTGTGTGTGCATATAAGAAATATATGTAAAATTTCGTGGTTTTCTTGTTGAGAATTGTCAATAGAGGTTTTTAAAACGAATGATGTATATAATGAAAGGAACGTCTAATCTTTTATAACACATGAGTAGAGTTCAAGATTACTAGAACCTGGGACCAAGACAATAATGATTGTCTCAGTTTGAAAGTCAAAGTTGTCGAGTATCACAGGGACCCAATTAGTAGTTACAACAATACTACATAGATACAATATACATTTGGTCTTTTCTTAGTTATACATTTAAGATCTTTGTGTAGTTTGAACTGATCGTATTTTAAAACGACTGTTATATTAATTGGTTATTGGAAAAATTGAATTATATTATTATTAAAAGAAAATACAGAATAATATTTTGTACAAATGTTTTGTGTATTGAAACATTTTTTTTATATGTAGGTGTATTAAGCGACACTTTTATTATTATAAAGTATATTCCATAATATTAAATTATAGTATATATTTTTTTATACAGGCCATATCAAGGCTACTGATAACTAGTGTTATTTTAAACTCAATAGAGCGTTGTAGACGTGAGAACTGACTGTACAATTACCTTAAAGTCGAGGGCTCACTGTTGTAACAAGGTTAACTTATAAAACCCATAGCACTCCATAAATATATTAAACACACCCGATTTTGTTCACTCTCTTTCTAGTATATAACCTAATATTGATTCAGAGTATGTATTAAAAGACTTATCTTCTTATCTTAATGATTTGGTTCATATTAAGTGAACGTCCTTTTTTATATGTACTTTAAAAAATGTAATTTAAAGGGATGTTGTGAGTACTTCTCATTTTATCTAAGCCATATACTAAAAAGAAATTTTCGTTCGTGTAACCCTGTCGTTACAATTATTGCAACATATATTTTTTATGTTTTTTATACAAAAACCACGTCGATAGATCACAAAGGAATTGTCCGACCATTGACTCGGCGACAGAATGAAGAAAACGTTTGTTGCTGTTTATTTATTTAAATGAAGTAGAAAATTACTAAAATATTTAATATAATGTTTGTAGAGTGATTGCTTATTTCCAAACTAACAAAACAAAAGCTCTTTGTGATCTCAAAATGCAAGCGAATTAGAATATCGGATGCTAATTGCATTTCAGGGACTTCTTCTGTAAATGAATGAATTTTGCCAAATAGTAAATATGCAGAGGCGATGACCTCGTAACCTATTTCTCGTGGCGCTAAAACTATCAGTTTGGTCAAAAAACCCAGATGATTGAGTTTCGTTAATAATGTAATGTATAGGTGGTGTTTACTCTGGCTAAATATTTGAGATGTTCCACGTCTTTACATGTGTACTATATTACAAGCGCTTGAGAATCATAGAAGTTAAATGGTGAAGAAAACCCTTAATATGCAATTTTTTAATCATATTCTACTATTCTTATTTAAATATATTAAGCCTTTTCAAATAACAGACATTCGGATAACAAAATTTTAGTTTGATTTAATAATAATAATTTGACATTTATTACGAAATTAGAAAAGATAACTTATACTCTACCGAGAATACAAACAAGTAAATCTTGTATGGTTATACAAAATTATATCTTAATTGTGTATAACAGTAAGAATATTTTAATTACTTGAAATACCTACTATGGAAGAAAAACAAGAAATACAAATAATGTATAATCCTAAAATAGTTATACTCTCACAGTAGTCATTATTTGAAGTCATTTTATAGTAGTGAGTGAGTAAAATGAAATATTTTTTTTACTGTTGATGCTGATTTATGTTAAACCAATCAATTTTAATGTGTTTATAAATATGTTTCGGTCAATTATAGTGTGTTCCACGGATCTCGTGATCGTTCGTTACGCTGGTAGCTATCAACTTGTGAGCAATGATATTAATAAGCACTCCGAACACCACGGACGTAATACTCATTTATATTGATATATAAAAGAATATAAACTTAATTTATTTTCATGATATATGGATATGGTTTCTAGCTAGTCTGAAAACTGTTTGAGAAAAAGAGACGATATAGAAACACAACCTTATACTCTTTTTGACTTAGGATTTCTATCCTTTAATATTGTAAATATAAGAATAATTTTGTAGCTATCTTGGTGTCACAAAATTATGTATATGATTATATAATAAATAAATATTTTTTCCTATATTTTAACATAAACGAATCATTCAGAGGTAAGTAAAGTCTGACGTCCCTACTGTTAGTGCTGTGTTTCTCAGCTTAGTGACTCACGCAAGGCTTACACAATTCGCTGCGTCATTGAAAAGTGAGCAAACAAACAATAATAAATACTTAAATAAGGAAGGTAATACGGAAATTATAATATAATTACTATGATTTAACAATATATTAAATTTAACATAATATATAACCAATTATAAATCTCATGAATGAAAAATAAATCTTCCCACGCTGAATAAAAAATAATTTACAGATATATGGAAAAGGAATCACTTTAAAACAGACTACTTGATAACAATGAATAAGTTTCAGAAAAGAATTGACCATTTTAAACCTGACGTGAAAAAGCATGTTGTAAGTATAATGATTACCTTTGTGTGGGTGTGTGTGTCTGTGTGTGTGTGGTACATGAGAATATATGTGTTAAAATTCAGTGGTAATAAATGATAAAGAATATGAATAAATAAGAAATATCGCGTCTTAATTCCCATTGTATTACAATAGATCATATCGTTATAAATTTAAGCCACATACATAACATAAACGACCTCATTAGGGTCATTATAGATACTATGGCGTAAGTTGAACTTGGTCCGGGTCCCCGCTCCGGTCCGACGCACGCGACGCTCTGATTCATGGAATGCGCCTGCGCATAATTATGGTGCCAATAAAAAACATTATTATTATTATTATAATTCTATTGAGTAAGAACACTACAACGAGGAGCGATTTTTTTATGTGATTCAAGATTATTTCAGTTCGTCTGTAAACGTGTAATATTTTGAATAATTTAAAACAATAAAGTTCTACCTTATAAGAAAAGTATTTTTTGTATCGGCTCCTTAATCTACATATAATAAATAATATTAAAGTAAATATTTATGAAAATTGTACTTAAATGAAGCTTCTAATGTTGTTCATGTTTTTTTTCAGATTCTAGATTTTTCAATTCATGATATATTGACTATTTTTTTTAGTGTTACGCTTTGTGCAATCTAGGTAACAAAAAAAAAATACACTGGAATATTTCAAGCTTATATTATAAAGTTAAAAATCCTAGTTTGTGTTTTATTGCACCAGTTTTAAGTGAGCGTCGAACTCAATTAGCTCCATACATATATTTAGGCTCCACCGTCTAATTACCGCTAATTATGTTTTTTAACTTTTAAACATTGTAATAAATTACATATTATCTAGATTGTTAGTAGGCCTTGAATAGTTTTACTTTCAATTTTATGTAGTTAAATGGCTATTGTAACAGCTTGTACGGATTAAAGTGATATATTTGAATGCAAAATTCTCCTTATTAATAAAGAGATTCTTGAAAAGTGTTGTAATAAATAATGTGTTTTTAAAAGGCCACAGCGTCAGATAATCGAACCTCATCTCTGCGATAGTTGAGATGAAGCCGAGCGGATTGTAATCACAAGATTCATATCCAAGCTCATCACTCGCTGTTCAGTCGAGTCAGTTAAGACCCTTCTGATGGCAACTCTACCGACGGCGCCCAAACTCTATATTGTACAGAATAATGGAAACGATACCGCGATCTAGAATACAACTAGCGCCATCTAGTGGCGGAGTTGGAAGTAGTTTTCGAGGTCAATGTTATATTTTGGGCGACTGATAGTGTATCAGCAAAATTATTACATTATCGTCATTGACATGAAACAAGAGTAAAACGGTTATTACGTATATGAAAATAGATGAGAAGAAAAACAATAAATGACGTATATTTGAGAATAATAACCGACTGTGCCGGATACAAACTGATTGAATCCTAGCCCTTGGAGTTTATGTGAGCGTGGGATCAATTCTATTTGCTTGTACATCGAAATAAAGAACAAAATCTATTGTACATATAAAGATTTGATTAGAAATAATATACTTTTAGTGTTTAATGTATACGAATCAATGATATTGTATTATAATAATCGCCTACTAAAAATTTATAGCAAAATATAATTTAATGTTCAATGCTCGGTAATATTTTATTTCTTGCTCGAGACTGTATTTTTACAACGTTTATTTACTGTAAGGTTATTCGATCTTTACCAAATAAGGTATAATTCGATTTCTTACAAAATACACAATCTCTTCTTAACAATATATTTTATTACAAACATCAAAATACAACACAAATATTTTTATATAAATCTGGAACATAATTAAATACGGCAGAACATTTACAAGGACAGAACAAAATTATTATATCCACATATCAGCTGCACATTTCTTGGTTTATAAAAGTACTCAAAGTTCAATACACAACAAAACCTTCAATGTATATCACAAGATTTGTTTTGTTCGATGGTGATATTTTTATAAGTCCCGTGGTAGGATTTGTTCAGGATGTTGCGCAAATTGGTATAGAAAACCGGAAATGGTATATCACAAAACTCGGTGCGTTCAGACTGATATGAATTAATTTCCACGCTGAGATTTTCGACTGATGTTTGTGGATATCAAGTATGACTGAATGAAATTTACTGAAAAGAGATTTATTTAGAATTGTCTATAAATATACAGGGTGACTGGTGAATTACTATCGATACTTGAGGACGTGATATTTGACGATCATATATGACAAAATAAAAATTAATATAACATAAATAGTAATAAACTTCTAAGTAAAGTTAACCAAAAGTTATGTAATTAATTACGCATCGTGTGAACACCCTACAGATTAGGTATACACACACACACACACATACGCGCGTGCGGCGGCGTAGTGTTGTATCAGCACGCCGCCGCACGCGTCCACACTTGGAATACTTGGAACGTGTACACACTTTATTTATTTTTACGGAAATTTGGTCAAAAATTAAGTACCTATTTTTTTTACATAATTCGAATGAGAATCATGTACCGAGTATTCTCCTTAAATATTGATAGTAATTCACCAGTCACCCTGTATATGTGATCATTGATTCTAAGATTTTATAACGACATAATCCCGACGTTTCGGTTCCTTTACAGCAACCGTGATTGGGAGCAGACGAGATGAAAGTCTCTATCAGTTAGTCTTGTCATCTACCGCCCATGATTTCTTAATTTTATAATATACCTCTGTGAATGCCTCAGAATGCGCTTACTTTATTTCGAGGTCCTGCGCCGTGGTCACGGACATGGGATTTTATATTTTAAGAAGAGGATCCCAGGTGTTTGATAGGTTGCAGCCATCTTCTCTATTGAAATTTGGGTGTTTTTTTAAATTTCAATACCTTCGCGGATTAACCTCGGTATATGCCTGTTTTCACGAGCGAGGATTTGTGAAGTGTCAAACAGAATGTAGTGGCCTGGTTTGTCCATCGTATGTTCACGCATTGCTGACTTCGACGCTCGCATATTTTTAATGTCCTGGATATGTTTTTTAACCCTTATATCGGTGCTCCTCTTTATTTGACCAAAGTAACAATCAAGTAACAGTTGTAGTAGTTTCATCAAAATGAATACACATGAAAGCCTTAGATATCATTATGTGTGTATGAAGATGACAAAAAATCTTCGAAAAGGTTTTCAATTAGTGAAGACATTTTTGATCAAGAAGCCATTTTTCATCAAAGTACATTAAAATTAAAATAAAGCGAAACATATTTTATATAAAATAATTTAAAATGTATTTTTATGTCTATAAGTTTGGCAAGAAACAACTTGCAAGGAAATTTTTAACAACTCCATACTTTAATTTATTAAATAATAAATTGTATCCTTTATTCCATAATATCAATTTACATTTAAAAAAAACAACGACACAATTATTGTTCACAAAAGCGTCTCGGGTAGATTTTTATTGTTATTTAAACGATGTCCTCTAATAATATAGAAAAATTCTACTTTGTTCTTTCACGGTCGGAATATTTTATCTCGTATATCCATTATAATAACAAATATTTGTATTATTTAATAAATCCAATAAAATTATATGATCATAATTACTTTAGCAATTTCATAATATTATGATAGAATGTTGCTATTTTATGTTATGAGGCGCTCATAACTTTCTTTTATTTATATATTTGCTCGGACGTTCAGTTTTTTTAGTAAGCAGATAAAATATTTCATTTAGTACGAAGCATTTAGTTTTTAAAGGAATCCAGTTACTTATGTTATTGCGGAAAAAAAATTATGTAAAATCTTTCCTGCATTCAGAGAAGTATCGAAAGTTAGACAGTTTTATGCAAAAATAATGGACAAAGGTCATCAATAAGTGTAATAATAAAAAAGATACAAGTACAAGTTTTTGACACCGAAACTTTTTCATTAGTTTCTTTCCGTAAATTTAAATAAAAATGCTTCATGTATCTAGCATTTCATGCTACAACTGTCGGCTGGCGCGTCTCTCCACCAGAGAGATGACCTGGTTTACGTTATTACGTTAATGTTGAGTTCAAGTTCAAGTTCAGCAACATTTTTAATAAAAATCGGAGAACTTGTATAGAAATTACGAATTAGATTTAAGATATATTTACTAACATAACTATAGCAGCACAATTTCTTTTTAATTATAAGGAAATGAATTTATTGTAAGGTCGAAGTAACTGACAAAAACATTATGATGGAATCGAATTTATGAAGTAAATTCTAACCGAAACTTTGTGTGTAAGACAGTGACTGGAAATTCGTGGTAGAGGATTTTTTTTTGGTTCAAATTAAACTGTGGGCTGAGTGGAATGGTACTTCCACACCGGACACGTAATATATGCTTTGTCTAAGTTGGTATCACCACATGAGATAATAAAGTGAACAGTTTTTCTATGATAAATCCTATCACATTATAGTATTAAACTGCGTTGTTTATTGAGAAACGGCAAACGTAATGTTAAAACGAAAATTTGGACTAAGCATATAGAAATATTCTTTGAGCACTGAACTATTCTGAACTATTCTGAAGGTCGAAAATGTTGCAATGAACAAACTTTAGTATAAACTTAAACTTTAATTTCATAAATAAATCTTGTCCGTACACTGCTCGAAGTCGACCCGCTTCTTGAAAACTCTTACAAACGAATAATTAGGCTTATTTTTCTATTACATATAAATATTTTAAAGTATATGTATATATAATTTATAAAAAATAATCCTTTTGTTTGTTTATATATTAAAATCCAAACTGTTACACTTTTCTTCTATATCGGAATACTTCACTTATTATAATACTTATAATAATAATATTCACATCTACATTTAAACAACTGTAATGTTTTCTAATATCCTTTTCTTCAAATTGAGTTTATATAAAATCAAAAGAAGTGTCTTTAAAGAGATAATTTGTTAGTAAAAACTGCACTTTCTATACATTTTAAGTTTCAGTACCTAAATTTGAAAACAGCCTGGAGCTATTTTGATGACAAATGAATAACCTTGAAACATTATTGATAAATAATAATTTTTTAGAATGTCCACGATATGCTATAAATAAAGTCATTGAATTTTTTGAATGAAACTTCTCATAAATTACGAAGAGCTGTACAATAGTAAAGGCTTTTTTTTACTCAACTGCTCTAGATGTTGCGTCGTTCTATTATATCCTTTATGTCTACATATATAAAGCTCAAGTAATAATTTTTATCTCTTAATATTCCTAATTCCTTAGTTTTTCCTAATATTCTAAAGTTGCGATTCAGTATTTCTTAAAGACTATAACGTATTAATAAATTAAAGTTAGGTCCAGGACGCGACTCAGTTAAGACGGTGATTTAGAAACCAATCAACATTTTCTATGTCAATCTATTTTTCTATAATCTTGTGTAAAATATAACTTATATAGTACATATAGTAGTATAATTACATTTGGAGTTAATTTAAAGTATCTTTTTTAAGTTTTCTAATCGGCCTTCTAGCAGTTCTCATCAACGATTTATTAATTAATTATTGGTAACATTACAGAACCAAGAATGTTTTTACATAACGAAACACCCTTTTATTTACAAGTACTATGTATGTATAATTACTTTCGAATCTTTTTATTATTGTAAAAACCAGTTTGCATAATTATAATTTATGTACAAATAAATTTTCTATTATAATGTTGCATGCACACTTACAACAGTTGGTACATCAGATTGCTTATTTCAGTTGATTGATGTTTTGCTCATCGTATAGTCATGTCAAGAATACAGTTTCAAGTAAACAGTTTGCAGTGTTCAGGTATACAATAATTAGTTTATATAATAATAATATTATCTAAGCTATTATTTCTTATTAAATCTCAAGTGCATATATTTATTTTAATCAAATTAGGAATAAAAAACACTTTTTTTGGAATTCATCATCATCAGCCTTTCAGAGCCCACTGCTTAGCAAAAGCCTTTTCTCACATGAAGATTTGAGCATTAATCACCACGCCTGCTCAACATAGGTTGTCGATTTCAAAACTTATAATTTTTAATTATAAGTCCAGGTTTCCTTGCGATGTATTCCTTCACCGTCTATCAGTGGTACATAAATATCCTTAGAAAGCACATATGACTCGAAAAATCACATTGGTATTTGCCAGGTTTCGCACCCGCGCCCTCGTGCATAAGACTTCTAGGCCACCACGATATTTTTTGAAATTAAGTTATTATATTTATAATATTATGCTTTTATCTATAGTTGGTAATGAGGTGAGTTCCTCTACAACCCTGCTGGAGTATCTCCGAAGACACTTGGAGCTGCGCGGTACCAAGTACATGTGTCTGGAGGGAGGATGCGGAGCCTGTATCGTGAATGTAGTCAAAAGTCCTGGTGAAGCTTCATTAGGTGTCAATTCAGTGAGTTTTTATACATCCAATGTCCTTTACATTCAAATTTTTATACAATAAGGTCATTTTATAGTTAGTGCCTGTTAAATAACACTATTATTTTCAGATTTCTACGCATATTTTATAAGTTTACAAACTATATCCGATATATATGTCGTCTGCCCGCTATCACAGTTGCTCTAAAGTAACCGAAACGCCGCGTCGGGAGTATAATCGGGAGTTAAAATAATAAAATACGTGTCGTAATCCGAATAATATAAGTTTCATTTAAATGAATACTCGCAAAAGTCTTGGATGTCATTACTGTCTGTTACTTTGCCTGTTGGTATTATTTAACAATTTACAAACAATTTTATGAACTTTTATAACAATGCAACACTATTTTCAGTTGCATTTTTTAAACTACATATTATTACGAACAGATAATGTATTAATAAGTTATGAGACCAAAGGTATTTCCAATACTTACTCTTGTTTATATTTAATTATATTTTAAATTTAAACTGGTTATAAATAATAATTACTTTTTTGTCTTTTTAAGTAATTGTTTTACACAGACATACAGTTTTTTATAAACCGTGAAATGTCTTTCAAATTGTCTAAAATTTAGTTTGTGGTACAGCCGCACTATTTAACAAGATGATCTCAATATTTATTCAGAATAAATGACTACTAAATAATGGGAATTTTGAGTTTTTCCAGTGCTTCATTCTTATCTTTTAAAAACATTAGGGCCACGACAATTTGTTGAAAAATAAGAAACTTTAATGCCAGTCAATATTATTTGCATTAAGTAATAGTGTTTGTTAATTTTATACCAAATATATTTTCCAAACACACATTTGGACATACTTTTTTAAAAAGAAAATTTCATTAAAATTGAGAGGGGAAAATTTTATTTTATCTAAATATCTCTTAGAATCGGTTACTTTTAAATCTATTTTCTGTATACTTCATATTTATTAGAAACACTACAGTACATAAAAAGAATTGTAACAATCTGTTAAGCACTAAGATATACATTGATACTAATATTATTTTTTTTAAATATAAAAACGTGAAAGTGATATGATTCATTAAAAAATATAACAGAAAAAAATATGGGCTCGCCATTACAGTCATTGCCGTATTATATAAATAATATATGTAATTATGCAGAATTTTTAATAGTCACACAATTTTTTTTATATATTAACACTTTTTATAGACAATATAAAAAAGTAGTGAAAATAGTAAGGAGTTTATTTAGACATTATATAGTGGCCTGGTTTTGTTCGTATATCGAACCCCTTTCCGATACGTGTCATCATTCTTATAAGGTATCCTTCTTCTAAATGACAATAACACTTCTAGAGATTACCGATAACAGACAGACAAACAAAATTAAAAAAAATATCACATTTGATGCCGCTGTTGACATACTTCTACATGCAATCCTTGAAAACCTGTTACTTGAAACTACGAACGAACACTAAATTTAATTTATTAGAACTGATAAATGTTGTACAACAAAAATCATTCAAACGTGCAAGTGCACGTCTGAATGATTTTTTGATGTTTTAATGTAATATTCTTTCAAGCGAATCATAACAGGTAATCATGCCGGTCGTATAAATTACTTTTTATTAGGTTCTGTATAATTATAGTAAATAAAGTAATTTAGAAAGGAGAGAATTGTTACGACGTTCAATTAGTAAACTGTTTCAGTTGGTGAAATCGGAAACTTAAACTCTTACGTAGTCATATTTTATTTTAAAGTATAAATAATTTTTTAATATCCACATAATGATTACTTATTTCGGTATAATCTAGTTAGTAGATAGTAATTTATAAATCTGTTTCAAGAATACTATGCAGTCTCATGGTTACCTACACAAAATATATTGGAATTACCTTTCGTGATAACTTAAGATTATGCGTGCTTTCCGTTAAAAACGTACAAAATATGATTCTTATTGTTTTTATAATAATATTAATTACAGTGCATGGTGCCAATAACGTCTTGCAATGGCTGGGATATAACAACTATTGAGGGAATTGGCAATCGCTTGAAAGGTTATCATCCAATACAAATGACATTGGCTGAGAATAACGGCTCGCAGTGCGGCTACTGCAGTCCAGGATGGGTCATGGCATTATACAGGTTATAACATATGTATATTGAATTAATATATCCAACTTTTCAAACGTTTAACTAAAGGCCAAACCTCAATGACACAGATAAGATTTTGCATTGAGTATATTTTCTTGACTTCTATTAAATGTAAATAATATTTTTCGGATAACAGTACGCGTATTTTATTATTGTAAAAACTATGTACTCCCCATGTTTCCGTTACTTTTCAGCAACTTTTTTCAATTATGTGTATTTTTACAGCATTCTCAGAAACCGACGGCCGACAATGCTCGAAATAGAGCAATCATTTGGGAGTAATATATGCAGATGTACTGGTTATAGGCCAATTTTAGAGGCGTTCAAGAAATTCGCAATAGATTATCCTGATCCTAAGATTATACCAGATATTGAAGATTTAAAATTGTGTCAGAAGACTGGAGAACAGTGTTCGAAAAATAGTTGTAGCGAGTGGGATTGGTGTGTAATAAACAAAAGCGATTTGACTGATGATATTCTTCACATTCAGTTAAGAGATCACAGAAATTGGTTTAAAGCTACCACTGTTGATCATATTTTCTCACTTTGGCAACAATTTGGTACGGAATCCTATATGCTGGTTGGGGGTAATACGGGAAAAGGTAAGAAAAGTAAATAATTATAATGTAATTACAGACATAAATATTAATGTACAGCCATCCTTCAAGGCGTTGTTCCAATACTGGAATATCCGAAACTTCTTATTGATATAAACCATGTTCCCGAACTGCATGGTTATTATGTGGATCAAAATTTGGTAATCGGAGCGTCAACGACTCTCACTGATTTAATGACGATATTTGAATTCAAAGGTGACACTAGAGAATTTAATTATTTGAATATACTTAATGATCATTTGAGAGTGGTAGCTCATATAGCTATTAGAAATGTAAGTATTTATAAATCTTATTTCTTAGTGAAGAAATCCCTATTCTCATTATGTTCACATTTTTTCTAGTCTGCAACTATTGGGGGAAACTTAACATTGAAGAATCTACATCCTGGGTTCCAATCTGACATTTACATAATATTGGAGACTGCTGGAGCACAGTTGACCATATGTAGTTATTTTTTTGAAATAATTCAAATGTTTTACTCTTTTATTGTACTATATTACTTTATTTAATATGAACTTCAATGTTGTGAACCACAACAAACTTTTAAACGTCACAAGTATGTGACGTTTAAGTTTGAATAAAATAGCCTCGGAACAACAATCTATTGACAATTTTTTAAAAGTTTACCTCTTTAAAACCTCCAAAAGTACAAATATTTTTTCTAAGAAATATTTGAAAATTCGTAATTTAAAACGATACCCATAAAAATGAAAACTTGGAAATATTTGACATAGGAGTCTGATTTTTATCCTTATATAATTTTACACAAGAAATTTATATTTTTTATATATTTCTGTATCTATCTTTCAGTGACAGATTTCCACAGCGAAAAAGTTGTAAGTATGCAAGAATTTCTCAAAATGGATATGACAGGAAAAATTATTAAAAATGTAATTCTACCTCCACTTAAAGAGAAGCACAAGATCGTGACGTTTAAGGTAAACAAAAAACAATGTCAGAATATTATTCATATTTGTTTAAAATAGGTTACACGTTTTTATATCCTCGTTAATCATTTTAATCAATATATTTAGGTCGCGCCTCGAAGTCAAAATGCACACGCCTGGGTTCACGCTGGTTTTCACTACGTAGTAGACACGTATGACATAGTTTTAGATTGTATTATCGTGTATGGAGGACTTTCCCCTAATTATACCAGGTCGTGGAAGACTGAGCAATATCTTGTTGGTAAACATTTGTGGAATAATAAAACCCTTCAGGGGGCGCTAAATATTCTGAATGAAGAATTGGAAGTGTCTGAGAGTCTGCCGGACCCACCGGTACGTTACAGGCGACAGGCTGCTTTGGGATTATTTTACAAGGTACTGTAGAATTTGTAAACAAATTCAAATGACTAAAATACTTCAAGTTTTTATTATATTAAAGTAAGTTTATAATAAAATATAACAACAAAAATTAGAACTGAACTGAAAAATGAGACTGTTTTTATTTGTATAAGTTTAATTTTTTCTTCTTTTACTCTACTGAGTTTTAAATAAAATGAAAATATTATATAAAAAAAACATTAAATTAAAATACCTACTGCATATATTTTTATCTTAATTAAATAATATAAGAATTAATGAAATTAAAACTTTTCTAAAATATTGAGTAAAGGTGTACTTAACGGTCTGTATAATAAAATCATTTCATATAATTAATTAATTATATTCCATTTTTATAATAAGCTATCATTGCAGGGTCTGCTCGCACTTTATCCTCAAGAGATACTAAATCCTCGTTATATTTCTGGAATGACTAAAATTCATAATACTCGTCCGGTTTCACGAGGACAGCAAAATTTTGAAACAAATCCTGCCCTTTGGCCAATTAATTTGCCAATACCAAAACTGGAAGCTCTAGTAAGTTTGTCACTAATACCATACTTTGTTCACAAATAGAGGATAAATTAAAACAAAAATGTATGTTGTAGATACAATGTGCAGGAGAAGCTGAATATACTGAGGATTTACCAACACTTCCAAGAGAAGTGTATGCAGCCTTCGTACTGACTACAGTTCCTCTTGGAACCATTACTAAAATAGATGCCAGTAAAGCTTTGGTAAGTTCAATAAATGACAAATAATATTAGATGTCATATTCACATCACTCGTAACAGAAGATTAAAATGAAATAAGCCCCTAATTTTTTTCATTTCCAAGGATTCAAAATATTTTTTTATCAATTCTAGTTGCTATACTTTTATATATAACTAGTATAAGATGAAAAAGAAACATTTAAGAATTTAAACTAAAATTAATATCATCTCTTATCAAGGCCGTGCATGGAGTGATTGCGTTTTACACGGCAGCGGATATTCCAGGAAGAAACAGTTTTGTACCAGCAGTAAATGACACTAATAAGGCTGACGAAGAAGTGCTATGTGATGGAGAAGTCAAATACTATAATCAACCTCTTGGTATTATTGTTGGCGAATACCAAGAAGCGGTGGATAAAGCTGTTATTTTGGTTGAAGTCACATACGCTAACGTTCGACAACCGGTCCTGGATATAGCCATAGCTAAACACATACCTGAGAGGGTAACCTTTTACGCTGCAAATAATCCTTCTGGAAGAGGAAATGACATATATAAAATAATTAAAGGCGAGCAAAATATATACACACAATATCATTTTCCAATAGAAACAATAGTGGGTATAACTCAGAAGACAGAAGAAGGAATACGAGTTTTTAACACGGCTCAGGGGATAGATTCAGTGCAAGTAACAACATCTAGAGCATTGTTAATGGATCAGAGTAGGTCCGTTGTTATATAATATTATAATTAAAAATTACAAGGAGGCCAAAATTTACTGTATGAGTTCTTTGTCCATAGAATAGACGTATTTGTGCGACGACTTGGAGGCGCTTATGGTTATAAAATAACCAGGTCAACACAAGTTTCAATAGCTAGTAGTTTGATTGCATACAAGCTGAATCGTCCTTGCCGCTTTATACAATCATTGAGAGCTAATATGAGAGCTGTTGGAAAAAGATTACCTGCTTCTAGTAATTATGAGGTAACACATTTTTAATTTTTTTATATTTCTATATATTTTTGTAAAGTACATAGTATTAAGTAAAACTAAAATAAACAAAGCTTGCATCGCGGAGTTATCAGGAGGTAAACAGGTTTATCAATATTAAATAAAAAGGAATCAAATACGACGTTAGTTTCGATAATATACTGTTACAATATTCATATATAATTAGTAATGTTTTAGTGAAACAAAAGAATACTTGAAATACCTTTATTACCGCTATGTATTGATTTTAATAAGAATTACATATAAGAGGTTATTTAAAAAGAATCGGTACAAGAAATCGTTAATTGTTTACAAATATCTCGACCGTCAGACATTATCTGAGTCTAAATGGATTGTATTTCTTATTATATTAGGACTTTTTTTGATTTTTCTGCTTTCCCCATAAATAAATTAAAACAAGCAGTTTGAAGGGCTTTGGCCCGCGTCTGCAGGTCGAAGAATATGTTGTAATCTAAAGACAGACCGTAGATTGTCGATTTGTTACAAATAAATTTAAACTAAAAAATATAATTTAATGATGAGTAAACGAAGTTAAAATTAATTTCCCCCGTAATCGACATTAATGGAATAAATGTGTGATTTGTGTTTAGGTTGCCGTAAACCAAGACGGAGTGATTCAGTACGTAGATTATGACCTTTATAGTGATAATGGTTATATTGTTAATGAAACTCTTTTGGTTGCTGGCACTGGGGACTATAACAATGCTTATAGAAGTGATACGTGGAAATACAGATCCTTTACTGTTACAACCGACACTCCATCAAATAGCTGGTGTCGGGCTCCAGGTAAAATTATATGAATATTCGTATTATAATATTTACATATTCTTTATACTAAAACTATATAGAACTAAATTTTTTAATAAATTCTAATAGAGAATTTAGAATGTAAAATTTATTGACATGAGCAGGAATCGAACATATTGTATTCTTGAGAATAATTGTATTTTATTGTTAATATTAAACGTTCTCGAAAAAATACTTAAAGTTTATTAAAAATTACATACATCAAAGCTAGAAAACTAAGAATTTATGTATATAAATTAATCACCTGATTTCCTTAATTTAAGACTTGTATAAATAAGGTTGCAATCTTATAAAATGTTAATTGCTTAATTTATATAATTTAAATGACATGTTAATAATTTTATACCATTTACTTTTTCAGGTTCATTGGAACATGTTGCGATGGCCGAAACTATCTTAGAGAGAATAGCGTATGAAATGAATATTGATCCATTTGAAATTCGTTTAAGAAACTTCGATTCAATAAATTATGATGAGATGATAGGTATGATAACAAGAATAAGAACAGAGTCTCAATATGATGAAAGAAAAGTTCTGGTTGAAAAATTTAACATGAACAATCGGTGGAAAAAGCGTGGTCTAAAAGTCTCATTTCTTAGATGGAACGCATCTCGAACTAAATATATAGATGTTAACTTGGACGTTTATAAAGATGATGGGACAGTAGCTATAACGCACGGAGGAATTGAAATGGGTCAAGGAATGAATACAAGAGCCGTGCAGATATGCGCCAGCTTTTTGAACATACCTTTGGATAAAATTCAAATAAAATCCACTAACACTATTAGCACACCGAACAATAGCGATACAGAGTCTAGTGTGACATCTCAGAATGTAGGTAGAGGTGTTCGAAGATGCTGTGAAGAACTCTTGACACGATTAGAGCCAGCAAAAAAACAACTACATAACCCTTCTTGGGTTGAACTTATTCAAAAAGCTTATGCTATGAATATTGATTTGCAAGTACACGGTTTTGTAAGTCCTGATGATGAAGTGGACCAAACTATTTACGGTGTTACAGTCGCTGAAGTTGAAATAGATGTTTTAACAGGGGAATGGGAAATTTTGAGGGTCGATTTAATTGAAGATGTCGGAAGAAGTATTAATCCGGATCTTGATGTTGGTCAAGTGAGTAAATTATTTTGAATTGACTATGACATCTTGTTTTGTCCTAAACTGTTAATATTATTTTATAAACTATAACTTGTGTACATTTTCACTAGAACTGTTTGTGTTTAACTTCTTTTTTAAATTATTTACAGATTGAAGGTGCTTTTGTGATGGGTCTTGGTTACTGGACAACAGAAAATATAGTGTATGAACCGCGAAGTGGAGAAATTCTCTCAGACCGTACCTGGCAGTACTGGGTACCCAGCGCCAGAGATATCCCACAGGATTTTAGGATCTACTTTAGAAAACGGTCGTTTAGTAATGAGGCTTTCCTTGGATCTAAAGGTATAATCCATGCCTGGGAAATCTAAATTAATTGAATATTTAAGTAATCTAGTATTATTTTTTAGCAACGGGTGAGCCAGCGACATGTATGGCAATTGTTATACCATTTGCAATAAGGGGTGCCATAGCATCAGCTCGTGAGGAAACTGGCATACCTATAACAGAATGGTTCCAAATAGGTGATTTTTAGCAATAATTCATTAATATATAACAAACCATTAGTTTACAGCAGTTTTTTGTAAATTCAAAGCTACAAATTGTTATAAAACTTTTTATTAACAGAGTGATAAAGTATTGTTGTTTTAATCAAAAATTTTCACCGGTACACATTTAAGTAAAACTATAATTTTCGTTAACTTTAGGCAATTAATTTTATTATACATTCCATCAGCAAATGTTAAGCAATTCCATGTGCCTCACCGTAGATATAGCATTTTTTTTCGATACCTTTATTATATTATTCTGATTTGGGCGTGTCATTTTGCCACACATTGAGATAAAATTTTAGCAGTACTGGCGATTAGTCATTAATTAAGGTGTGTCACTATAGTGCTAATAGGAAGCAACTCTCTTATGTCTAGCCATTCGTTCTGCATTTCAACGCTCAATGCACTGATCTTATATTTTCTATTCTCATCTTGACGAATCAAAAACTTTAATAATAAAATAATATATCTATATAAATACGTAGTTGATCCGAAAGTTATCGTTTAATTTAATAGTCGTTGTAATATTAAAACTAGTCCATCGTTTAAACTATCTTAATATTACTTAGGTTTTCCGATAATACTACTTTTTATTTTTTTATTACTACATTATAATGGCATTGCGGTTCCTTTGCATCAAAAATGATTACAGACAGATGGAATGAGATCGAGATTATGTAGTAATGAAATCATAAAAACCTGTAGTATTATCCAAACCCTAAGTTTCATTTATGAATAATCGAGAAAGTTTTAATGTGAAAAATATTTTGTTAATATTTCAGATGGGGCATTTACTATAGATAAAATATGCGTCGCATGCAATTCGCAGTTGAAAGATTTCTTATTTTATTAAATGAATATTAAATAAGTTTTATATTCATACTCAACAAGCTGCGCCTTTTACATAAAAGTGGATACCATGAGAAAAATTATTGTGCTAATAGTTACAGTGAATAAGATAAAAACAAAATCTACGTGATTCATGCAAGCAGAGAAAAGAACTTAATAAAGATGATATTATTGCACTCAAATTCTGTATACATTTATATTTTTAACATAATTACATATTTGGAAATTAAAATTTAATAAAGATATGTTTAGCTTTAAAATTGTGTTAATGTATGTATGTTACCTATACAAAGAAAAACAAAATCACAAATTCACTAAATATGTAGATTATAAAACAGTACTAGATTTATTATTCTGTTAGAAATATTTCGTTAACAATTCATCACATAGATACTTGTCAAAAATAAAATCTCTAAAGATATTTCACAATAATCTACACAATTTTATTGAATAAATCTTACCGTTTACACTGATAAGTCACGTCGTAACTAACGTTTAGTCTTACTTTATAGAAGACTCATTTTTCTTTAATTATTAAAACGAAATGATGGATATGTATGTATTGGATATGTTTGTATTGTCAATCTTGAGAAATTAATTTTTATTTATTTAGTAAAGTACTAAATTAGACTAATTCGCACTAAATTAAAATAGTGTTTATATTGATTTAGAATTTATTTGTTTGTATTAGGTATATTTATTGATATGTTTCTTTTTATTTCATCTTTATTTAAACTTTTATGTAATTTCAAATTTTGATATAGACGTAATGTCTGAAATAAAAAAAAATATTATTATATTATTATTATATATATGTATTAGGTGTTCAGTTGTTTTTTGTAAGATATTAAAACATTATTACTAAACAGGCTATGTTATGTAAATAATATTTAAATTTAAAATTATACTTTGCTTTTTAGTTCCTATGTTGTTGTTTGGAAATCGTTTTTTTTTTATTTCTTATCGAAAGTCTAAGAGTAAGTTGTTCATCTGAAATTATGAATAAATGCAAATTGCGGATATGTGAAAATTTATGTCTTCGTCATCAGCATATCAGAGCCCACTGCTGAGCAAAGGCGTCTTCTCACATGGAGAAGGTTTGAGCATTAATCACCACGCTTGCTAAAGACGGGTTGGGGATTTCAAACTTATAATTGTGAACAAAATATAACCACACAAAATTCATTTGAATTCTTTCATGTAGGTAATATTAAGAATGTTTCTTTTGGATTTACATATGATTATACAATAGATCGCAGACTTCAAAAATCACACCTATGCATAGTTTATGCCTCTTTGTTAACGAATATTTTGATAATGTATAAAACTCATTGTACCTAACGGAAGATAAAAGCCTCGTGTTATTTTATTCTTTTAAAAAACATATTTGTATAATTAAGTAAAGTTAAAAGAGTTACATTTAATTTAATTCAAACAATTTTATCAAGTGTACTCATATTTTTTTTTTATAAAGAACTTTTATTATCTCATAGTTAATCCTTTGACCTTGTAAACAAACACTACTCTTAGTTTAGTTTGCTACGTACGCGCAATATGCTAAAAATTAAATTAACATCGCCGGGTCAACATCATTGTATGGATAAAATATCATATAACAAGTGACGTTGCTGACTCCGCGGAACGAACACCAAGCCGTGTTAACCAGAAGATTCCTGATACCACACAAGCTATGGAATGGTATTGCCATCCTAACATCGGGGCAACCGTGTAGTATTAGGTATAGTTATAAGTTTTAACATGTATTTCTTATCATATATATGTACATATAAGTAAATTTCCTACTTTTCGTTCAACCTCCGGTTGCCACGCTACGTAATTAGTTCTAAAATAATCGCTTAATTTATTTCTTATTTCGGTTAAACTGAATGCACTATCTTATTTTAATCCACAGTTATTGTATTTATTTTATCCATACGAAGCGTTTGTATGTCTGCATTGATTATGACAGTTTTTTTTTGTCAGGCAGTTTTAAATTAAAACATAACATTAAATATGAAAAAAAAAAATCCAAACAATGTTTGTATTATATGATTTTTTGTGGTAAAACTTCCACATTCACCAGAATATACATATAACCTGAATATATATGTATCTCCTGACCTAAATAAAGCAAAACGATTTTAAACATCATGCAAGATATCAGATGTTTTATAATAAAATTACTTCTTCGACTAAAGCCACCATGTAAGTCTAATATTTGTCCGGGGTCGATTTGATGGCTTCTTTGAAAACGACTGAAATTATATATTATTAATGAGACCCTTTCGATTTATACGCAGCTTTCCTTGACTCAAAATGTCCTCCATTGTAAATAAGCTCCGGAACATTAAGCAAGGGCCTTTGATATTGATAACTTCTTTATTTTACTTACTAAGAATTACTAACTAATGTTTTTTGCAAATTTTTCCTGTATTACAAATTTCTTCAAGGGTTTTTGTTTTGTGTACTAGTATTAGGGTAAATTAAACATATATGAAAAATTTAATTAACCGCTTGGAATGATCACAAATAAATGTTAATTTTAAATTACTTACAGAGATAATATTATCAAGAGCTCGTGTATCTTTTCCCGTTACGAACAAGTTCTCATTGCTAAATTTTTGCATGATTCTTATTAGAAGTATTTCATTCATCTTTAATTTTGAACCCTTAGAAATTCAAATAAGCCCGACCCATTTAATAGGTGTTTTATTAAAGTCCCTTTTATCAAAATCTCATTGTATTTTGAGTATTTTAGACGACAGGTTAAAGTGAATGCCTTAAGGCTTTGTTGAGTGCGAACAATAAGGGTATCTTCGAGAGGCATTCCCAAATCTCGAACCGACTTAGCTTAAGACGCGACGATAATTTTAAGTGACGTCCTTCAGCCACACGTCACTACTTATTAGGTTAAGGTGTATGAAATTGTAATCGAATTAGTATTACAACATATTTAACATCAGTATAGTAAAAATGTGTTGTATTTTTTAGTCGGAATATTCTTTTACTTACTTTTTAACCATGAATACTTTTTTATATCTGTAGGCTAATGATTTATAGATTTACTTAATACTTAACCCAAACTAGATTACAATATATTATAAAATAAATACCTACAATTCTACGTTAGTGCTATAGCAATGACTGGGGTTCATTTAATGTTCAAGGTTTATAATCACTAAAGGTGAAAACTGTTGAAAATTACAAATGAGTCTTGAATTTGCAATTTGAAGACTGGTAAATTAATATTAATGATACTGTGTTGATATGGATCGCTAGGAAAACAAGTGAAAATTGAGAAGTGAGGGGAGGGAATCAGGCTTTATATATATAATATATGATATCATAGGTCTGAAAATTATAAAAAAACCCTTATTAATTAGTATCCGATAGTTTAAGTACAACTAAAAGTGAATGAGTGCTGAGGATTTCAGTAGCAAAGTAAACAAACTAGTACTTTACATTACAAATGTGTAGAGGGAATGTGCACACCTGTCAGTATATTTCTTGACAAAAGCTCAGAAATTTCAGACTTTTTCTTTATAGATAAAAATTACCGAATAAAATTTTGATATTTTCGTGTAAAAGAACTTATAGTATTTAGTAATCAAGCTGAGGATTTTCATCCAATTTTGATAATTTACGGATTTTTTTTTTTACATTTTTGTGTGATTGAGTTCAACTTTTCTATACGGTAATGATAATCGTTTCTTTTTATGTAAAGTCTCCTGTTTATGTCCTTCTCCAGTTTTGGTTACTAGAAAAAAAATCACATGGGAGCTACATCTGAGGTCATATTCTCTATTTTTGAAACGGAATTACTAGTGCGTTGTTTTTGTCAAATATTCCTACATAATCAATGATGTGTGATCATTTCCAGTATCATTTGACTAAAGCAATTTTTTATATAGACTTCCTGGAACAAATTACTATTAGTCTTCTTCTTCTTCTTCCTGGCAACTTCCCAGCCTTAGCCAGGGTCTGCCTAAACCTGGCAAGTTCCCGGCTTTAGCAAGGGTCTGCCTTACATGTTGTGAATAATTTCGGCTAATTGATTTTTACGACCGGCCGCCTGCCTGACATCGACCCTCTTTTGGGAATCAGCATTAATCAGTGAGGTCTGAATATTGTTAGA